ACACATACTGCACACATACTGCACACATACTGCACACATACTTCACACATACTGCACACATACTGCACACATACTGCACACATACTGCACACATACTGCACACATACTGCACACATACTTCACACATACTGCACACATACTTCACACATACTGCACACATACTGCACACATACTGCACACATACTGCACACATACTGCACACATACTGCACACATACTGCACATATAATACTACTGTAAAACCGGAAAGTAACGACCAAAAAGTTTAACGTTTTTGCAATTTTGGCACAATAACGTGCAGAAAGTTTAGTGATGGCTACCTGGCCACCAATCTGTATGCGCATCTTTACACAGACATATCGCGATAACGTTTCTTCATTATAACGAGGAAAAAATTGGTCGTTAAAACGTTAAAGTTTGTGACTCGTTAGACTGTCCGGTTTTACAGTGTTGTCTATGAACATAGTTATGAATGTGATGGTGATGGTGTGTGTTTGTGTATGCGTGCCTGTGTGTGCAATGCCTATTCGCCACATCTACAGGTGATGCCAATAGGCCTGAGTATGGCTAACCATGCCATAATGCAGTCGATTGCTCAGGAGACGTGCGTGCACATCCTCAGGAACCATACCTACTTTGGAATTGTGCACGGCATCCTGAACTCGTCCAGCCCGTACCTGCCGCGCTTCACACTACTCACTGCCAGTGGGCAGACAGCTAATGTGAACATGATGTTCTGTGAGCCATTCCACAGACGGCACAACGTTCCGCGGTATCGGCCAATCACATTCACACGATCGCCTGACTGGCAAACCAATGACGTCATTACGTTCAACGTAGGCCATATCACGTCATCAGCGATTAGAATATGGGACTCACGGCAGCTGTTTGTCACTGGTGGCCTGGCACTAATGGCTGCCATCAGTCTATTGCTAGCATAGTCATGCGTACATGCAGCAGGCACACTGCTCGCCTAAAGCGAGTTTCAAGCACAAACAATTTATCCGCCTCACTCCAGAATCAAGTTTGGGGATTGTCGCCTTTGCTGAAAAAAACCCCAGCAGCACGCTATGCAGAAGATGAGGGAAGCACCTGTTGAATATGGACAAGGGCACTAATCCAGACAGGATGATGTAATCCATTCGGATTCGGTCCGAAGTGCCACGTCGGTGTTTCTGTCAAGCCTCCAACAACAAGAACAGCAAAGGAGGATTCAGAGGATGGTTTAGCCCTGAGACTACATGCTTGCATGCCTGGGCGTCTAGCTCTGATCCTGGACTGTCCTCACTCTGACTCTTCCTTGATTTACGTGTGTGTGTGTCTGCTCACTCTCATAGTCACAGGAGCTACTAATATAAAACAATTAGAAGTATAATGGTCTTGAGCACTGATTTCCTACCAAAGTCCTATTGCAACTATGAGCTATGATAATATGATACTGATTGTCAATATTTCCTAACCCATTCGGCTTGAGAATACCAGACCTTTATCAAGAGTCCACCTGTTTTACAACGGAGTGCATTGTACTTTGACTATGATGACAATCACATAATATATTATGCCGGTAGTTGACAGATGTGCCGCAGATAGACGCTTCAGCTTTGGATTTGAGTCTGTTCTTATGGTCACCACTAAAGGTGCCAACTATTGTTACTTGAATTATCTATAACATATCCACTGAACATTTTTTAGCTCAAATTCACCTCTTTGCAGGTGAAATGTTTTACAGAGGAAATGGTGTTTTTTTCTGTTTCAAGTTGGCCTCTGATATTTGCAACTCTCCTCACATGACATTCGTACAGAGGATACTCAGTATCTGCATGTTGGCGTACTTGTGTGTGTGTGTGTGTGTGTGTGTGTGTGTGTGTGTGTGTGTGTGTGTGTGTGTGTGTGTGTGTGTGTGTGTGTGTGTGTGTGTGTGTGTGTGTGTGTGTGTGTGTGTGTGAAAAATAGGGATTCACTGACCAGAAAAAGCCACTTGAATCAGCTGTGTGGTGGATAAATAATAATAATAATAATTCGTGGGATTCGCGTTGGCATCGCTTGAATGTTCAGAAACACACAAACTACCAGGCTAAAATTAGTGGCGGTCAATTCATCAGCCTTGCCAGCTGTTGAATGGTGCAATCCCAGCACAAGTTGCTATGTGTAACATAGCTGTTCGCTATCATCGCTTCCGCGATGGGCAGGTCTGAGGTCTGAGGGGTGTGTGTGTGTGTGTATGTGTGTGTGTGTGTGCGTGTGCGCGCATGTGCGTGTGTTCGATCGGGGGGGGGGTCGAAACTCTGAAAATGACATTTTACATACATTGTAATGTTCGTATCAACAATCTGCCACAAGTATCTACCACAAGTATCTGCCACAAGTATCTATTCTAAGATCAACATGTGCTCATTAGTACAGCCTGACAAAAACTTGGGACAGAAAAGAATGGAACGTCCGTAAAAGAAGTTCGTCTCTAAAGGTTCCAGCAACATTAGACATAGTTAGCATTTTACCGTTCACGCTAATGTCGACCGTCGGCCTGCACCGGGTTTTTTGTGTCCTTTCAAGACATGGTTAGCATTTCGGTTTCTGACACAACGACTTGTGACGTAACCCAAGTATTAGTTGGAATCTTTCCGTTTCGTTTTCCCGATAAACAGAGCCTTCTATCGTCGAAACGATAGTCAGTCAAGTGAGAATTCAAGTCGGCAGGAAAACCGCGAGCTCCCATGTAGGGAGCAACACACTCTTCCCCTACTGTCGCCGAAGTCGCACCAACCTCTTCTTCACTTTGTTGTCCCCAGCGCGGTCTTGCGAATTAGATGGTTTGGAGGCAACAACGTTGTGAATGGCCAACGGTCCTTAGCGCTTGTTCAGCACCTCCAAGAGCGACACTGGCTCACGCTGCTATCTGGTGTTCACGAGGTGTTTGTTGCGCTGGAAACGGAGCGTCTCTGTAAGTTTGTATCCCTGGTGATGTTTGTGCCTGGAGAGCATTATAAGTGGTGCTCTTCAGGCACAATCTTCCTCAGCCTACTCAAGCTCAACTGATGACTCGTGATGAGGGGTGAATTCCCCGAAACACTGTGTATTGAGCAGGGAGTGGTGCTTTCTTGCAAGTTTGCCGAGTGGACGGTTCGATGGACTTCTCGTGTGCTCTGGATGGCAGTCGTGAGTCAGTCAAGTCGGCAGGAAAACCGCGAGCTCCCATGTAGGGAGCAACACACTCTTCCCCAATAATAATAATAATATGCCAGCATAAATGTTGGCATAATCAGGTCCTTTTTGAGAAGGAGCATAAAATGGCATCCGAAAAAACAAGGGCTGATGCCCAATGAGGCTGTTATACACACCTGCTATCGAAGGCATAATTGAAGGCATAATCGGGTCCTTTTTTAGAAGGAGCATGGCATCCGAAAAACAAGGGCAGAATGCCGTCTACATTATAGACTGCACAGTACATGTACATGTACCAAGAGTATACCCCCAGGGGGGTTATACCGGTAATACTCTTGCTAGCACACTGTACCAAGCCCAAGGCAAGAGTAGTATATCCCCCCCCCCCCCCGTGACACGTGATGTGTGTGTGTGTGTGTGTGTGTGTGTGTGTGTGTGTGTGTGTGTGTGTGTGTGTGTGTGTGTGTGTGTGTTTTCGACGTCGACGTCGACCCGGTGCCCCAAACTACGGGCCATAGGGCCATATTCCATATGCAGAGTTGCGCTGCACGCTCTGCTCTTGCCAGTCTTGGGGCCGGGCCCCCGGGGGCCGGGGGTTGTACGCTAGCGCGGTAAAAAAGATCTCACATGCACAGGAAAACGGAGAAAGTATGAGGAGCGGGTCCGGAATGTCAGAAATGCGTCGTTTGCCCCGGTGGTCATGACGGCGTCAGGTGGTTTTGGGTAGCCCTTTCCCAAAGATGCTCGCCACTTTTTTCGCAACTTTTCATTGTTTTAATAATAGGAAGAAATCGCAACTTTCGCAACATTCTTCATTTTCGCGAACTATTTCGCAACTTTTCCGCAACCTTGGCGTAATTGGCCCCATGGCATGGGGTCAAAAGGTCAAGTCACCGACTCACCGACTACATGTCGGACAAATGCATACTCGTACTCGCTCATTTCTCGCCTGCCTTCAGACTGATTTCAAGGAAACAGTAGATCAACGGTAGTTATGATGTGCATTCCCTTTTCCTTGCACTGGAATGATGTACTTATAAAATACATACTGAGTCCGAGGTGTTTACGAGAAATAAAAAACCGACACAAAACCCGAGGCGAAGCCGAGGGTTTTGTGGAGGTTTTTTATAATTCGAGTAAACACGAGGACGAAGTATGTATTTTATTTAAATTATACTTATAAAAACCGATTTTCGTTTTGGATTTTCATCTACCCCTAAAAAGAGGTTTTTTATACAGGTTTTTATAGCCGGCAGGTTTTTTATACAGGTTTTTTATAGCCGGCAGGTTTTTTATACAGGTTTTTTATAGCCACCAGGTTTTTTATACAGGTGTGTATGAAGTATAGAAACTTCTAACCGTACACGACAATCAATGGAGGTTTTTATAAGTATAATTTAAAGTCATGTACAGTCATGTACATTATTATTATTATTATTTTATTTATTTTACATGTAGGATACATGTACATGCAACAGGCTACTGCACTGGCACTGTGTAAAGTGGTGGTTCACAGCAGGAAGGGGTGCAGACCTACGAGTTTGCTGGCGCTGCACTTCTGCTATTTCTGCTCCCTTTTTTTTGTAGGTTTTGCACAAGAACTCTCCAATTTTAGGTTGCGATATTAGCAACGTTTGAGCTTTTTCTGAAAATATGGATGCGATTTCAGCAACTAGCACTTGTTTTGGCACGGTTGCGAAAAGCATAAGTAAGTAAGTAAGTTAGTTGCGAAAAATTATGGCATCTTTGGGAAAGGGCTAGTTTTGGGCGTTCGGCAACCAGCCTGTAGATCTATAAGAGAATCGCATCGCTGCTGGCTGACAGACGTAATGGAGGTGTTATACATGTACGTCCCCATTGTTTCCATCTTCCTGTCAAATGCAAAATTTTCAACTAAATTTAATTTTGTTTTACAAACTGTACATCCTGCCTCTTTTCATGTACGCTGCTGTTAGCTGGTGTGGCTTGTCCTCGGTTCTCGCTGAGCGTCTCGAAATCCACCATAGAAAACTTCTTCGTATCCTGTTTCGTCTACCCCTCTCTACTCTTCTGCTTCCCTGTATGTCCTTGCAAATGCTTGCCCACTGTCGACCCACCGTCAAAAATTAATTTGCACTTTTGCTCACAAATTTAAACTAGCTCTGCATCCTCCTCATCTTAGCGTGTATAACTGGTTCCGAATCACAGATGGCTCCCACTCAAGATGCTCTGTTGCCCTCCCCTTGGCTAAAACGTCCTCCCTTGTACACTCTCCACTCTTTGTTGCCTACTCTGCTTGGCTTGCGCTGCCCGCTACTACGCGCAATGCCAGTACCCTGGACGCATTTAAATCTGCTCACTAGATTCACCATCACCTGTCCCTCCCATGCTTCTCCGTCTTGACCATTACTTTTCTTCTTTTCTTCTTTTATTCACCATGGTTGGTTAACACCCACATCTCCCGTACTGGCTGATTTTCTTTTCATGCCATGAGGTGTTGTCTATAATAATAATAATAATAATAATAATAATATTAACTGGTTTGAGGGAAAGAGACAATAATAATAATAACAATATTCACATGTCATGGCATTTGTCAGGTGCCGCATTTCCTTTGCCCTCATGACATAAGGTCATTTATAATGTGTCTAGAACATTAGTTGGAAAATATCAACAAAGAATGGATCAACAAGAGCCTCCCGCGCCGCCACGCTGGCGGTTTCAGAGGCAGCTATTGCTGTTTACTAGTACAGTAGTAATTTTTTATAATTAGGGCTTTGTTTATTATGTCATCGTATGTATTTGTGCAGGCGTTGTAATTGTGCACATACATGTATGGCCGGATTCCTGGAAAAAAAAACGCCGATCTTGCTAGTTAATTGCTGTGCATGTGCAGTACTAGTACTATGCACACGTTTTTCACACGTGGTACGTAGGTGAAGATGAAGATGCTGCATACCGTATGGTACATGTGTGCAAAGCTTGCACGTGCCATGCATCGCAGAGCTTGTTTTTTTTGTGGAGTGGAAGGCCAGGCTCTTCTTCAAGTGATGCTGTCTTCCTCTTGACTCTTGGTATTGCTGGATTGACCCGCGATGGTCTCCTTGCAAAAATGTTTCGTCCAGCTGCTACCTCTCCAGGACTCGTCGACCAACTTGTGGGAGCTTCCAAAGACCTAGCGGGAGGCTGTGCTGGAGGTGTTGGCTGTGTCTTGGCTGGTCAGCCGTTTGACACCGTCAAAGTGAAAATTCAGACATTTCCAAATCTCTACAAGAATGTGTTCTCCTGCCTGGGGATCGTCATGCGCAGGGAAGGCGTGCAGGGACTGTATGCTGGCTCAGTACCTGCACTCGCTGTAAACGTGGGAGAGAATGCCGTTCTCTTCATGTGTTACGGCCAATGCCAGAAAGTTGTACAGAACTTCTACGGTGTCAAGGAGACGTCACAGCTCACAGTTCTGCAAAACGCTACAGCAGGCTCTCTCGCTGCCGTGTTCTCTTCTTTAGTCGTGGGGCCTTTGGAGCTTATCAAGAGCAGACGGCAAGCCCAAGCTGAGATTGTGCGAAGCCGAGGATACGGAAAGAGCAGGTAATTGGTTTGACGAATCAGCATTGAACCGGCATTGATTATACGGTAGTACGTTTCAAAAGTCCAGACCTAGTACCTCTAGCTCTGGCTCTGGTTTCAAAAAACCGTTAGGCCAGTTTGTGCATAAAATTTTCGAAATTGGACGCCTGTTATCCAATCGCTTAGAAATTTAGATGGGAAAAATTGTGTGAGCTGCCTGAGCAATATTCCGAAGAAATTTCTCAAAATCTCAAACAAAATTTGACTTACCGTATTTTCCGGAGTATAGTGCGCACTTTAGATGTGCTATTTTAGGCCCTAAATCGCAGGTGCGCACTATGCTCCGAATATGAAATGCATGTACTTCAATGCAGATTGAAGTGCGCACCCCCAATGAAGATCGGGGGTGCGCGTTATACAAAGGTGCGCACTATACTCCGAAAAATACGGTATTCGAAAAGTCTAGAGATCTATACTTTTGAAGCGCACTATAGTATTTTTTAAATGGGAAGTATCCTGCTGCAATACCACTCCTGATGGGAAGTATCCTGCTGCTTACCACTCCTGATGGGAAGTATCCTGCTGCTTACCACTCCTGATGGGAAGTATAGCCTAAAATCAAATGTTCACCAGTTGTAGTCTTCAGGTTGCTGAGTCGAATGGTCTTGGTCTGAGGAAGCTGAGACGCCTCCTTTATTCCCTATCGAACTCGCCACTTCCACCGAAACCGGGTGACTGCGCCCTACTAGATGGGGATTTGTATGCAAAATGTCACTAAAAGCACGGGTGACCGCGGTTGGCCCATATGTTGTAGTCTTTTGGACACTGAGTCGACTGGTTTTGGTCCGAAAAAGCTGCAATGCAGCGTTAGGCCCTTATTCCCAATCGAACACGGTTGAGTAAGCGGTCACGTGCTCATGCGTACACCAGTCACCTGGTCACCATGCCTGCGGCTACAACTTTCACACCAATGTTCAACTCAAACGTTCAACTCGAGTGAAAGGAACGCGTCCAAACAGGCTGTAAGTTGCCAAAAGCATTCCAAAGATTCACTCCTTGTGATCATCATGCTCACTGCGAAAGCATGACGGGTCGAGTGCTGGGCTGCATCCTACGTGTGGGCAGCCAGCCATGGGTGATATGCCTGTGTTTGATGGAGACTTCATTGTATATGAACTACTGTACATGTACTGAAAGACTTGAATTGGGGACACTTGAAGATTACTACTTCATGGAGTTGCTAATGCTAATGCTGTGGACATTGAAATCCGGTGGAATGACCGGGGCCGGCGCCTTTACTTGCTTAGTGTGTACACGTACTGTAACACTGTGACAATGGAGCAGCAGTGCAGTGCTCACGGCTGCATGGCCAGCGCCCCGTCAACGGATTTCAATGTTACACAACTGTAGTTCCCAGCCAGGCCAGATTCAGGACAATGCTGCACTTTGGATCAGCTGAGATTTAGTTTGTGCTGGCGACAAATCGATGAATCCATGAGGGTACTTCTAGTATGTGGTGCACGTTTGGCAATGCACTATAGAAGAAGTATATCCTGCGCATGTGTATGTGCCTTCAGGACTCCGTTCCAAATTACGGGCGATGTATTACGTAGCGAGGGAGTTCGCGGTCTGTTCCGCGGCCTGACCAGTACACTGGCACGGGAAGTGCCCGGCAACTTCTTCTTCTTCGGCGGCAACTCGCTGGTCAAGAGCGCACTGACACCGGCTGGCAAGACGGAAAGTGATCTGAGTAAGTGTGTGCATGAATGCCGACTTTATGCACTATCTGTGTATGGAGGGGGGGGGGGGGGGTCTGTGTTGGGATGTAGGGGGGTATGTAGTCTGTGTATGGAGGGGGGGGGGGGGGGGGATGTAGTCTATGTATGAATTGGGGGGGGGGGGGGGGTAGTCTGTGTATGGATGGATGGGGGGGGGGGGGTATGTAGTCTGTGTATGAATGGGAGGGGGGGGGGGGGTATGTAGTCTGTGTATGAATGAAGGGGGGGGGTGTAGTCTGTGTTTGGATGTAGGGGGTATGTAGTCTGTGTATGGATGGGGGGGGGGTATGTAGTCTGTGTATGGATGGGGGGGGGGGGGGGGTGTAGTCTGTGTATGGATTGGGGGGGGGGGGGGGTATGTAGTCTATGTATGGACGGGGGGGGGGGGGGGTATCTCTGCTACTATACACATCTAGTCTTGACAACAACATCACGGTGGTAGAGTCAACTCCGGTGCACAAGCACGTGGATTTACTGTAAAATTCTGTTGATCCGCTCCCTGTGGATATTGTGCCTGTGAAGCGTCTCCGTGTGTACGTCAAACTACGGTGTTGTGTGTCTGGCTTAGGAAAATTTATTTTTCATTTCTATCAGGTTCGGCCTCATGCTCTCTGTGCTGCACTGATGAGTCCACAAAGGACGAAACAGTTCTGTCAGCAGATTGAGTGTTGTGCGCGTTTGTGTTGTTTCTCTAGGTGATTGGGTATTCATCGTGGCAGGTGGTTGTGGCGGCGTAGCATTCTGGTTGCCCACGTACCCAGCTGATGTGGTGAAGAGTCGACACCAGGTGAGTGGTTTGTGTGTTTAGTTCTCATGAAAGAGTTTTGTTAGCGCACAGCTCGATTGACTTCTATAGTCGTGTTCAATGAGATCCGATCTCGTGAACATACTTTGCAACTACACACAGATCCTCCTCCACACTCCAGGACCACAGCGTCACCATTGATGCTTTTTTTGGCTGTATCTTACAAAGTCCACCTGGCTGCCTACCACGAGAAAAAATGTTCGCGGCATTTACAGTAGAAGTTGTCAGTGCCTGCACCAGTGCACAGCCCAGTTTTCACAGGTCTGGGGTTGCATGGCCCCAGTGTTCACAGGTCCATGGTTGCATGGCCCCAGTGTACACAGGTCCGGGGTTGCATGGGCCCAGTGTCCACAGGTCCGGGCTGCATGACCCAGAGTCCCCAGGCCCAGGGTTGCATGGCCCCAGTGTTCACAGGTGTGGGGTTGCATGGCACCAGTGTTCACAGGTCCGGAGTTGCATGGCCCAATGTTCGCAGGGCTAGGGTTGCAAAGCCCCAGTGTTTACAGATCTGGTGTTCACAGGTCCGTGGATGCATGCGCCCGTTCACAGTTCTGGGGTTGCATGACCCCAGTGGTCACAGGTCTCGGGTTACACGGCCCAGTGTTCACAGGTTTGGGGTTGTATGGCCCAGTGTTCACAGATCTGGGGTTTCATGGCCCCAATGTTCACAGATTCTGGGTTCCACAGCCCAGTGTTCTCAGGTCCAGGGTTGGACGGCCCAATATTCACAGGTACGGGGTTGCATGACCTCAGTGTCTGCAGGTCCGGGGTTGCATGGCCCATTGCTCACAGGTCCAGGGTTGCACATTCCAGCGTTCACTTACTGTCTCCATGGTGGCTACAATGACGAATATTTTTTACTCTTTCTCAATCTCTCCTCTCTCTATCTCTATGTATCTATCTCTTTCCACCTATCTATCTTCATGTCATATGGATGTCCAGGTCAATGTTGCCGCAGGCAAGCCGAAGAATTTCTTCAGCGGCTTCATGGAGATATGGCGCATGGAAGGTAGGCTGTTTGCTTGTAGGTGACGTTGCATTTTGTTAACTTGAGCTGGCTTCAGTCATTGGTCATGCCAAGCCAGATGATCCCAGCGACATGATCATTCGGGTCACTTGTGCTCTCTTTAGAGTGTGGTTTTAAAGTGGATGCACAATTTGTTTTCTTTTCTTTGTTGTTCTGAACAGGCATGCGTGGTCTGTACCGGGGCATAACGCCTGCATTGGTCCGCGCCTTCCCAGCCAACGGCGCTCTGTTCTACTCCGTTGAGCTAACCCGTAGGATCTTGGAGTGAAGGAACTACATATGTGTGTGTGTGTGTGTGTGTGTGTTCTGCTCCGTATTTTTCAACGTTGGGCACCTGCTGGTCGGGTGTCATGATTTCATCTCAGATTTAGGACATTCCGGGTCTTCACTAGTTTAGACTGCAACGTGTAGGGACACAACTGTATAGACAGTATATTTCTTTACTTTTTATTAGTGTGACACAGTAGTCTCTCTCTCTCTCTCTTTCTATCTCTCTATCTCTCTATATCTATCTATCTCTGTCTGTCTGTCTGTTCATGTAGTGAACATGTTATACTCACTGCTGTACTGTCTTGCACACCCTGTGTTTGTAGCGGTACATGTACATGGTCAGGCTGCCATATTGCCAGCCATACACACAAGTGTTGCTTGTGCACGCTTTGCAACCGCTATTATGCATACTGATTTAGTTGTTAGGACAGTGTGTAGTGCTCAGTGCGTGTGTTCTAATGCAGTACAACTCCGCAACAGAGAGGGTGATTTACATGTATTGTTCTCACGCCGCCCCGTGGTACTCAGGCCCGTTCTATTTCGAGCAGCGTTTTTTCGGGGTTCCAGGCAAAGCACAGCTATCTGATTTGATCTCTTTTCTTCCTAGGACCCACCAGATAGTCCATAGTTTCTGATTTTTTTTCTGTTCTAACACTTGCTCATTTTTCCTATTATTTATTTCTTCTAGACCATGTGACATGTCAATGCTTGGGATTGTCCCTGCAGCTAGTATTGTGTTTTTTTTGCATGGCAGTATTTTCTGCCTGTTTATATTTTTTATCACCTTTTAAATATGATAGTCGCACCAACCTCTTCTTTTTATGATAACAAATCACCAAATTGGGTATGAAGAACAGCTGAAATGTGCCCCTTTTATCTGTACAGTGATAAGCTTAGCAGTTGTATAGTGGTGAGAAACTGGGTGCCAGTGGACCCAACAGGTGATCGCTTCAACGCCTTGCAGCGATGAATTAGCACAACCAAAGACAAAGTGTGGAAAAGCGAACATTTAATATCATTCAAGGTATAGTTTGCATGCACAATCATGTAGATCTACATGTACATGCACATGTACATGTTCTGGTACATGTACCAGAAACGAAGCAAATAACCACACAGAGAGGACCGGTACAGACCGACCTGCAGAATGCTTCCAAACCAATATTAGCAGTACTTCCTTATTTTCACCGTCTTCTTCGTGATTGTTTTTGAAGTTTTGTCCATTTTTGTTCATTTTGCTGGAGCCACAGAGAACATCATGCTGATTGTGAATCTGCAATATAATGTAGGATTATTCCCGCTCCGTTCCTAGTTGTTGTAAAATTACGTACTGAGGTTCGAACATTGGAATGTCGGACCACATCGCCACGTCTACCACCTTTGGGCAACTGGAACAGAGCATGCAGTAGAAAACATCGGTGACCCCGACTTGACTTTACAACAGAATGATGTTCGAAGGAAATAAGCAAGAGTGGACCCATAACCACATCAGGACATAATGATGATGCCAAGAACAAAAACAAACTCCAATACCGCGAACAAGCACTAGCAGCCTGGTACTATACTTGTGTATGCATTCCAGCAACAATAGTATTACAATTACATGCTGAATTCAACTGATCAATGTGACGTAAAAACGTAATATTATCATGCTTCTCATGAGAAAGATACTGTACAATACATGTAGCATCGGTGCCGCATGTTTGTTGCCAAGAAACGCGGTACTGTACTACTTTTGTAGTAATATCATTGATTCAGACGCCAGCACATGCACCACGTACCAGCGTTTCCTTGCACCAGCCCAGCAAGTTCAGGAAGGAGTAGGAGGGAGAAGGGGGTGGTAGTAGGGTGTAGTAGGAAGAGAAGGAGGGGGTAGCAGCAAGCTGTGGGGAGGGGGAGAGGGGGTAATAGGGACAGGAGGAGGAGGAGTAGCAGGGACGGGGAGGAGGGGCACTCCATTCTAAAATAAGTCAAGATCGCGGGGGGGGGGGGCACAACGTAAAAATGCGGAAGGCTTCCGTCAGCGGATAAAGTAGAGATACACAGTGGACGGATATGAACCATGATGAGAAAACTATTGGTGAAATTAGACACTGTTGCTGCTGCTGCTGCTGCTAGTGTTGCTGGAGCTGGCACTCCGGAAGGCATAGTCTATACACATTGATTTGATTTCATGCTTGGTAAAATTATCAACCGTGCATGGCACCGGCATCACACAGGCACTTGGCCCCGGCTACGCAAGGGTTTGTAGTACACATTACACATTACTACATGGACGGGCACGGCACTATAAGCGAGGCAGGGCTGCAACCGAACACTTCACACCGTGTGGCCCTCACACGTCGTCACTAGAAGTTCCGCGTACAAATACTGTATTTCTTGGAGTCCAGACTGGCAACACACAAACGCACACACACAAATGGCAAGAGATAAGGGCGCAATGTCGACACTGCTGCTTCTCGGCTTCGCTCTGGACAAGTCACACTCTAAGATAAAACCGACATCATCCGGCGGCAACACTCGACCATGCCCGACAGTTAGCGATGCATTGTCTCCAGATAGCATGCATTGGATGCCGCATAGGATCTGCACTGCTTCAACAAGATAACAACCGGATGTTGTAAAAATAAACGCTGGATGGGCAGAAGTACGGTACCAGGAAAGAAGCAAGTTGAAATGAATAGAGCACATCACAATGAATGCCTCTCACCCAGCAGAATCATCACTCCGTTGGCTAGCTTGCTAGCTGATGTAATGTAGACACACACACACACACACACACACACACACACACACACACACACACACACACACACACACACACACACACACACACACACACACACACACACACACACACACACACACACACACACACACACACACACACACACACACACACACACACACACACACACACACACACACACACACACACACACACACACACACACACACACACACACACACACACACACACACACACACACACACACACACACACACACACACACACACACACACACACACACACACACACACACACACACACACACACACACACACACACACACACACACACACACACACACACACACACACACACACACACACACACACACACACACACACACACACACACACACACACACACACACACACACACACACACACACACACACACACACACACACACACACACACACACACACACACACACACACACAGACACACACACACACAAACGCGTACATTCCAGCAATGCGCTCTTCCATGAACCCAACATATTCATAAGGTTGGCATGCACTTGTGCCGTGCATGATATATCTACTCGAAGTCCATTGCGGAGTTGGTCTTGCTCACATCGCTGTCGAGATGTACAGGGCTCTCCTCCTGTGGCTGTTGTTCATGAGCTTGCAGCTCAACAACCTGCAACTGTTCCTCCTGCTTTTCATGATGCTGCAGCTGTGGCTGCTCATCTTCCATTATTTGCTCGCCATTGCATTCCTCTGGGATTTCAGCTGTATTCAGTCCGTCATCCTGCACGTGCAGTAGTTGTTCACCATTGTGACCTTGCACCTCCTCTTCAATCTCCATTGGCACAGAGCCACCATCACCTTGCTCATTGACAGCCATGTCCTCATCACCAGTATCGTGTACAGGAGGATGATCTGGCTCCGGTTCTACTGCTGTTGGCTCTACTGCAGATTTGTCCATAGTACTACTACTACTACTACTCACACCACCATTAGCCTCAGGGCATGTCGACGGGGACGTCATGTTCCCAGCACCCTTAGCAGAGTCGTTGCTCCATGCCTCGTCAGGGCTGACAACATCTGCGTCACTGTCAGCCACCGCCGGTGGCGGCGGAGATGCGGACGGCGTGCCAGCTTCTCTGCTCTGCGCATGGTGTGGCATGGACTCGCTCTCGTCGACAAACCGATTCTCGGCTAGGAGCACCGTGGCGGGTGGCTCCACACTGCCGTGCACCATGCCCCTCTCATCGGTGTATTCACTGTCATCAGAGCCAGTGATCGGTTGGTCTTTCTGCTCCTCCTTCTGCTGCTGCTGTTCACTGCTGGTCTCCTTGCTGGAATCCTGACTGGATGCTGCCGCCTTGTCCTCGTCAGTTAAACTTACAAACGATTCCACTTCAACCTTGCAGAAGAAGCACCGGGGATCATTCATCATCTGATACGAGATACATGCCCTGGAAACACATGTACATACAGACATAGATGGACAGACATAGGCAGACAGGCACACAGACAGGCACACACAAACACACACACACACACACACACACACACACACACACACACACACACACAAACACACACACACGCACACAGCGCACATAGAACAGTGCAATGAAAACAAAGCTTTATGTGCCCATATGTTCAGTTAGTACTGATGCTGACTGAAGCGTCTACCTATATCCATAAGTGTTTCGACACACACACATGCACACGCACACACACACACACATACAGTAAAATAAAAGTCAACAACAACAACATACACACACACACACACACACACACACACACACACACACACACTTGTACTTACTTGTTGCACACTGCCAAAACTGGTCACGTGGGTCTCCCCGGGGGAGGGGAGAGAGATTCAAAAGGAATCTTGGAAAGATGACTCAATTGGCTATTGAACCGCCCAACGGCCGACACCCCCTGAAATCCCCAAACCTCTGGGTGGACTTGAAAATGATCCCACTTATGGGCTCACCACACCTCAGTAAGTGGGTGAGGACAAGGTGCAGAAAAAGGATTGACGGCATCAGGGTATCCGTCCTGGGATCCAACTGCAGTTACCCCTGCCCCCAGTGAAGGTAATACGTGCTACTAGTGTGGGTGGCTAAATCAGAGTGGATCTGATATAAGCTTCACTAGCACCATTGATTACACAAGAGTTAATCTAGCCAGACACACACACACACATACACACACATACACATACACACAGACACACACACAGAGCAGCACAGAGCAAGCACAGAGCAAGCACACTTACATGCATGACTGGTGAGAACATGGTACAAACTTGACAGACACAGACTGAGCACAACAGATAGAGCAGAGATTCTCATCCGACTCCGATCCCTGCAGGCAATCGTGGAGAAATCGACAACAAACACAGCAGCCAAGAAGGACTAAAATATTGGGGCAAGGTAGTTCGCCTGTCCATTACAACCCAAGGCATCCCTACGAAATCTGCTTTCATGCAGGGTTCTCATATATGAAGCACTTTGAAGTAAGCGCTGGCGACCCAGAGAAGCAACGCAAAGTTACACACGACTAGTAACAGTAGGTAGAAAGGCGATAAACGAAACTTGAGATGAAGATGGTGGGCAACATGAAAGCAGAGAGAGAGAGAGAGAGAGAGAGAGAGAGAGAGAGAGAGAGAGAGAGAGAGAGAGAGAGAGAGAGAGAGAGAGAGAGAGAGGGAGGGAGGGAGGGAGAGAGAGAGATAGATAGAGAGGGAGGGAGGGAGGGAGGGAGAGAGAGAGAGAGAGAGAGAGAGAGAGAGAGAGAGAGAGAGAGAGAGAGAGAGAGAGAGAGAGAGAGAGAGAGAGAGAGAGAGAGAGAAAGAGGGAGAAAAAGAGAGAGAGATAAAGATAGAGAGGACACATTAGAAAACTAACAAAGTCATCAAATGAATATTTTAAATCACCCTCCTTCATGTCGAGATACCTACATCTTTCTCTTCCTTCAAGCTGGCATCCTTGGCAATAATCAAATCGGCAAGCTGTGCAATGCGATGCTTGTCCTCTTTGGAGATTTCGACTGTGACAAACAAAAACAAAAACAGATGCACAAATACACCATGTACCAAGTACCATGTATACGCTCGTCGCAAGAGAAGCACGCAAATCTGCAAATGCACTGGATGTGCACTCACAGATTTTCTCATAATGATAGCAGACAAGGTCTGGATGAAACAGATCAAAACCAGCGCCAGATAACTGCCTAACACGTGCGTGCACGTTCACACACACACACAGACACACACACACACACACACACACACACATAGCCCACTCACCATCTCCCAGGGAGAAACCATGGAACTGTGATGACACATCCTGTGCAGCATTGTGCAGAGCAGCACCGGATGGAGTGTCAGTAGCTTCAGCAGCATCAACAGCAGCAGCAGCAACAGTGGCACTGTCATTATTCTTATCTTGGCTAGTGGAACTGTTACTAGTAGATGATGAAGCACGGCGACGCTGACGAACTTCATCAACGTCAACACCTGGTAGTTGGCAGGAACAGGAACAAGAAAAACAAGAAGAGGGAGAGAGAGAGAGAGAGAGAGAGAGAGAGAGAGAGAGAGAGAGAGAGAGAGAGAGAGAGAGAGAGAGAGAGAGAGAGAGAGAGAGAGGATGAGAACTGGGTACAACACTTGGGCTCACAACAAAGAGTTTCTATACTGAATGTCGCGTCGTCCATTGGAGTGTGTATATAACACTTTGCTACAGGCAGTAGAGATGAGCCAGTACTAGCAGCAATGTTTGCGTTTCTTTTCAACACTCTGATTCTCTTGTTACAGCTAGTGCTCAGAGACAGATGATACATCACACGACGTGCCCTTGTGACCAGATTTACTATATCAGTGCATTGGGTACTGGCTGAATTATAGCATTAGTATTGCACAGAGTCTTGCTGATATTGATAGTAATTTGGGTTACTACAGTAGACTCGTACGCCCAAGAACGCGGTTTCAGAGGGCCAGCCTAGCAAAGTTTTTATTTTTCAGCGCCCCAGGCTACGTTCTTATTTCGCGTTCTTACGCGTCCAACACGACCCGTGACGCTCATGTACAATGCACTTTGCGCTACATGTACCGGTACGCGGTTGTACACTTTACATGCACGTGTAGTATATATAATACTGTATGTAGCGCTGCGCTGGGTGATGTTTTCGCGAGGACCCGACAAGAGTTTGTGGTTGCGGACTTGTTTTTCGTGTTAAAATGTCGCGTTCTTAAAAATCTTGGAGTTCGTTCTTAAATCCAGGCTGGGGCGTTCTTAGACTTCCAGCCTGGACGTTCTTGGGCGTACGAGTCTACTGTATAACAATACTACCCCCCAGCATCAACATCAACATCACCATTCACCACCACTAGCAGCAGCAGCAGGCAGGCAGCAGCAGCACATCAGCATCATAAGCACGACGGCAAAAGACACTTACCTATTATCTGACAAAGTATTGAGAGTTCAAGACTAGTTTCCTCCACAATAGCCTGTACACCACGCTCCTGCATGTCCGGCGTGCTTGCCTCTATTGTCAAGCTTAGGAAGATCCCTGAACATGCTGTGAGCAGATACGCAGCTTTCACATCGGGCAGAGCTGAGGTGTACGACAACACAGCATAACACACAAGCATACACATTGACGTTGTACTGCTAGCATCCCCATGTCCATCGTGTAATTGCAAGATATGGCATGCGTACAGTACAGCAGACGTAGACATGCATGCATGCATGCATTGTCCATGCTTTGGGGTTGCTGTGGTTGCATGCTCTATAGATGCCGTGCAAGTACACTGCTCCAGTGATAGCAGTAACACTGCAGTTGCCACAATTGTGCTATAATTATCTCCCAGTACACACACCGTATTGATTCATACGTTCCTCCTTCCCCCCACTGTTGTCAATACAAGAAAAAGCAAGGAATACCAAGCCAACATACCCGCTAAATGCCGTGCTGGTAACTGCTCAAATAGGCTTCCCCGCGTGGCAAAGCGAGTGAGAATCTGACCGAGAGTCTGTACACGGGTGACACACAACAGCCATCACAAGACACACCATAAGACAGATGTCGTACCAAACATTCACCACTACAGCAACACATGGTCCACAGCAATAGCAATAGCACCCGCCTCCTCCAACACCGCCAACAGCAACAGTACCACGACCAGCAGCAGCAGCAGCAGCAGCAGCAGCAGCAGCAGCAGCAGCAGCAGCAGCAGCAGCAGCAGCAGAGAGCGGCAAGAAAGCAGCTTCAGAAAAAATGGTGGGCTGTATACTAATGTGATTATGATCAGTTGATGCAACCGCAACCTCTCTCTTGACTCGAGTGTCCCAACCATGGCATAAGGTGGTAGTGTAGTGGTGATGTTCGGATATGTACATGTAACCACCCGTCAGACAATCACCGGTAGATAACCAAGAAGCTAGCAGTTGCACACGCCACTGACATACCTGACACAGTCTTGGTAGCATGATGGCAGCAGTCGGGTGGTTCTTTCCAACCCAGACTTGAGGTACTAGCAGGGCGATGCGCTCAATAAGCTGCACAACACATCACAGCACAGCACAGCACAGCATGCATACAATGATTATAATTCAACAACGCACATACTTGAACTACATGCAATTATCATCCTATACACAGTAACGGATGGTGCTCAATCAGTTTGAGGAACACCAGATTGAACAAGCACATAAAGAAAGCCACACACATGCACGCCGTGTTTTTCAACCTACCCTGAGAAACATGACGACAAGACTGAAGCTAAACGAACACGTTCTGGTCAAGCGGCGCTCATAGTCGGGCCGATGACTATCACCGCCGCTTGACTGCAACTGAACAGCAGGATACAAGACAAGGAAAACAAACACACGAAGAAAGGTTTGTGACATAAAAACTACCACACAAGTGTTCGTGCAGATGGGCATGCGCAAACACACACACACACACACACATGCGTGTACGCACACGCACACATGTGCGCACACGCACACATGTGCGCACACACACACATATACACACACGCACAGGAGCACAAGGAGCAAGACACACAGGGGATGGTCTGGCCATTCACAAACTAAAAATGGCAATCTCTCTGAGCTGCGACACACTCCCGAGCATAGCACCAGCTCCATGTTTCCCATACCGCCTATTTCAAAAGTACTCATCGGCTGCAGGGTTGCTTAAGGGTGAGCATGTGGTATGAAATACTGGTATTGATAGATAGACAGTTGTCTAAGGTCCACAGGCTGCGTATAGTCCTCTATGTCAAGTGGACAGAGCCAGTAATACAATGATTACACAGCAATGAAGCAAACAAATCTTTTTCCGCCGTTACTCGGAGTTTTGGAGTAGTTTCGGAGTAGTTTCGGAGTATGCTGTCTGATGAGTGCTTCACACGAAACTCCGAGTAACGGCGGAAAAAGATTTGATTGCTTCATTGCTGTGTGGTCAGGGGCGTAGCACCCGCTGCGACTGGTACGACCATGGCCGTACCACTTTTCGAAAAGTGTGGTCCGTCCGGAACGTGCAAAACCGTAATAAAAAATCAGGATCCATCGATGCTTATGCACATCAGACTTTGACCTTTTTCTAGACTCGTAGATCTACTCGTAGATCTGCCATGCATCTGCAGTCGTA